ATATGCTGTAAGAAATATATATATATACACATATACATACATACATATATATACTGCATTTTAAAAATCATTAATAAACAAAATTAAAAACAAAAGGAATAAGTCCTCACATAGGCTGTCACATGGATGAAACTTAAAATGTTATATGAAAGAAGCCCATTAGTTATATGAGATCATTCATGTGAAAAGTCTAGAACAGGCAAATCTATAGAAAAACAAAAAGTAGAATAGTATGTTTAGGGCCGCTGTGGAGGGGAAATAAGGATGAGAGAGCTCACTAAAGAGTATGGGGTTTCTCTCAGGAGGGGGTGATGAGTGAAATAGCTCAGTCACAAAAGGACAAATACTGCATAGTGCCACTGTTGTAAAACAGGACTGACACCGGGGTTGGGGGTAGACTGAGAAAGACAGAATAAATAACGTATACTACATTGAAACAGATGAGGGAGAGAACTGTTTAAAAGGGATATACGATTAGGTATTATTGTCATGACAGAAGTCCAGAATGAAGGCTGCACAGTGGAGTGGACTTGGGGGAAGGGATTGTATGACAAGGAAAGAATTTTTCTTTTACTTTTCAAAGAAAAGAGCGAACTGGGGCAGGAAGAGATGGGCAGGGAGAAAAGTGCAACAATGAATGAATGGAAATCCAAACTCTCTGTAAATTTTCATTAAAAGTAATAATAATAATTTTAGAAAGAGGCAAAAAAATTTAAAAAAATAAAAATGTTCCCAAACAGCTGTTAACGATTATACACCACTGTGAGTTGGGCCACAGCTCAACCTGGGCAAATGCTTCACTTTACATTTACTGGTCACTTGTCAACTATCTCACTATTCAACATTTCACGTTTACGCTAGAAAAAAAATGTATTTGACTGTGTTTATGTGTTAACAACATGCATCTGGCAATGGCCAACGCTGAAGAATGACAGTGACCATGAACGAGAGAAACAGATGGTCAAGATCACTCATCGATCTGGCCGAGCTACAATTTTCACCAGTCTGGCAGATAAGTAATGATGTCATTTGGCAATTATGTAAATGCTGTAGTCAATTTCTCTTCTCTAACAGCACCGACTTTCACATACTGACCTGGAACCTAACCATGTCTGTAAGGAAGGAGTAAGTATATTAAACAGAAGGTGGTGATGAGTCGGGCCAGCCTGAATGCGAACATAATGACAAAGTGGGTTCCAGAAAACACTGGAACGTAAGAAACCAGAACCAGCAGGGATAGACGCTGTTCTGCTGTAGAGTGGAACAAAGGACTGGAATGGGAGTCGGGAGGCAAAAAACTAAGCTGGAAAAAAAATCTGGAGGCAGGTGCAGGAGGAGACAGATTAAATTAATTTTTGCTTATCCACCCAACAGAACTTTGCATTTT